ATCCACTCACCTCAGCCTCCCAAGGCGAGGGATTACAGGCTGAGCCACCGAGCCCGGCGGATTAAAGATATAGGGCACAATTCAGGATTAGGTATACAAGTGGACACAATACAGGTAAAGTTGGGCCTTCCATTGGTCCCACTTTGCCTGGTTTGAGATCGGGTACCCTTATTGATATTGTGTCCCCACCCCCACCCTGGCAGTATTCCGCTACTGTCATTCCCTTTCTTTAATGTATTATGGTAAATTTTCAAGGTCTGCTGGTGAGAACATATGATACGCTATTCTTTGTTTCTGTGATAGATTACTGAGTATTATGAGCTCTAAATCCATCCAAGTGGCTGCAAAGTTCACGTTTGTCCTTCTTTATGGCTGCATAATATTTCATCGTTTATATATACCACATTTTTCTAATCCAGACCAGTTTCATACCGGGGTTAGGTGGTATCTCAATGTGGTTTTGATTTGCATTTCTCTGATGATTAGTGAGGCTGAGCACTTTTTCATGTGTCTGTTGGCTGCCCGTATATCTTCTTTTGAGAAGTGTCTATTCATGTCTTTTGTCCTTTTTAAAATATTGCCCACTTTTTAATGGGGTTGTTTTTTTCCTTTCAGCACGTTTGAGTTCCTCATAGATCCTGGATGGTAAGTCTTTGCCATATGTACAGTTGGCAAATATTTTTTTCCCATTCTGTGGGCTTTCTCCCTGCTTTCTTGATGGTTTCTCTGACTTTGTAGAAGCTTTTCACTTCATGTATTTTAAAGAATTTTTTTTAAGTACACCTATTTAAATCAATATCAATCTATCAATCAATCTATCCATCCATCCAGGGACAAAGACTGAGCTTATTTTCATTCATTTAATAAACATTTTCAAGTGCCTCTTCTGTGTCACACTACCATGGACCACAGATACAAAGATGAATAAAATCCATTCATTGCCTTTACTGGGCTCACAGTCCAGAGTATGAGAGAGACACACAAAGGGAATTGGCAGGTAGGCATTTGAAGCAGTAACCAAGGCAGGTTGTTCTTCCCCTTGAGCTTTCTGCTATTGTTCCCTTTTCTTAGTAAGACAGTCACAAGGGCAGGGATTATACTGCAGAAAAGGAAAAGGAAATCTTTGAATTCCAAAATAGATTCTTAAAAATTTATAGTCAACAGCTTGCAGTAGCCTCAGCCTTTTGAGTACCAAAAACCAAAGTTTACACTGAAGACAATACATGATAATCAAAAAGTGAGTTCTACTATCCAAAAGAAAGAAGTCTTCAAATGGATTGTAGTAGAGGAAGAAGACGAGGCTGAGGAAGAGAGCTGAGAAGGAAGGGGCACCTTGCCCTGGACCCATGTACTGAGATCTCAGGTGGGGATGCGATAGACGCATTAGATAGCTTTGAAAACAGCAGACACATTAGATAGCTTTGAAGTTTTGAAAACAGCAGATATATAACTTTCCATTTCCTCTGAAAGGTGGCAAGCCTTGCAAACCAAATGTTCACCCTCTCCAAACCCCACCTCCCTTCCCCAACACCCAACCCTTTATTCTTGGGTAGGAAAAGCAAGCAACGAAGATCAACTTGATTGGCAAAGTCTGAATTTCCCACAGCCCCAGAGCTGTGAGGCAGTTCATCCACAAGTTTTCCCAACTCATACAGATGAGTGGCAAGGGCTTGGTCAGAAGCAGCAGTGTTGGTGCAAGGACTGATGACCAGAGCCAGCTGGAACTGCAGACATGTCAGAGATGCAGGCAGCAGGTGGAGATGCTAAGAGGCTGGTGGGGATGATGGCATCACACCCAATGCCAGCAGGGACAGAGGTCCACTAAGGACAACATACGTCCTTCTCGTTGATACTGGAGTACAAGGAAACCATCCCTACCACAATCCCCAAACTTTAGAAGCAATTCAGGAGAGAATGGGGTATTCAAACTAATCAAGAAAAGCTTGATTTATCCAAACTTACTATGAACTAAGTTAAACTTATGCTACTAAGTGGAATGCAAACTCAAGAGAAAACCCAAAATCTTTATTCATTTGTAAACCTAATTTTGTGGACTAAGAGTATCCTTGCTACAACGGACAACCGTGATACGGTGTGTCCAAGGCAGATGGACCTCTGGGTGCTCTATGAGGATGAGTGAGAGGCTCCCACCCAGTCTGAGAAGGTCAGGGTGAGCTGGGAGTCACGAGTGAGCAGAATATCAGAGGATGAAGGACAGCAGCAGGACAAGTAACTTCAGAATGGCTAGAGTTCAGAGAGTGAAAAAAAGAAGGTTGCAAAGTTAAATGCAATGGATTGCTTAGGCCAAGCCAAGGTCTCCAAGCTCTTTCACACATAGGGCACAAAGATTCCTGAGGGACTGGAGCAGGAAAATGGCACCACTAAGTGTGCATTTCAGAACCACCATGGGTGGATGGAAAGAAAGGCACAGTGAGTGATGAACTCTGGAAGATCCACTCCTGCAGGCTGGGTTATCTATCCTCTCACCTGTCTTATCTTTACTACTAATATCACATAGGATCCCAGTCGTCTCAAAACCTGCACTGAGGGCAGCCCCTTTGGGTCCCCTCCCACTGTGGGAGCTTTTCTGTCCTCTTAGTAAATCTTGCTTTCTTGAAAAAAGAAAAAATAAAAACCTGCACTGAATGAGAAAAGGGAAGGCATTTCTTTGCAGATTTTATAAATCGGCGTTTAGCTATCCAGGAATGGGAAGTGAAAGTTACGGTTTACTGTCAAAATCGGTCAAGTTTTAATAGCCTGGGTCTTGTGCGAATACATAATATTTAGCACATAGAAATGTCTCCCACACACCTAGTATACACATAATGTGCCTTAATGTTACTGAGAGCCTTAAGGGAAATTAGGAAATGGTATATTTTTGTTTACACAGTGCTTACTTAAAAGCATCAACCCACACTGCTGTGTGTGGCTCTGCTCTCTGGTGGTGGTGGGACAGCAGGTCCCTAGGCAGCTCAGCTCTGTGGGATGGCTTTGTGAGTTGTTCCTGGAAGTATCCCTTATTGTTTCTTCAGCCCCATCAATGAGTCTATAAGCCATTCAATACTTTATTACAAATTCCTTTATACTCAAAGAGTGGACTTTGCTTTCTACACACCGACCAAAACAGATGAAATAAGTACTCAAAAAAAAAAAAAGAATCAAATATGCTAGGATTAAAAGGAGGCACTCTGAAGGTAGACTGCCCGGGCTTAAATCCCAGCTGTGCGGCCCACTTCCCAGCTACCTGACCTTAGGCAAGTGACTTAAACTTTACGTGCTTCAGTTTCCTCACTGGTAAAATGATAATGGTGGTGAGAATACCTGTCTCACAAGGTTGCATGATACTTAAATGAGACACTGTATGCAAATTGCTTATCATAGTGCCCGACACAGTAATTACTCAGTAAATGTTTGTTTTTATATTAAAATACGGTTGACCCTTGAACAACACAGGGTTTAGGTGTACTGATCCCCTCTCCCAAAGTCAACAATTCTTGTATCACTTTTGATTCCCCAAAAACTTAACTACTAATAGCTTACTGTTGATAGGAAGCCTTATCAATTCAATAAACGGTTAATTAGCACTGAGGAGGAAGAGAAAGATGAGGGGTTGATCTTGCTGTCTTGGGTGGCAGAGGTGGAAGAAAATCCACATATTAAGTGGACTCATGCCATTCAAACCTGTGTTTTTCAAGGGTCAACTGTATATAGTTAAGCACAATAACAACCAAGTAAACTAAAGATAAATTAAGAACTTCTCAAAAATTCTCAAGGATGAACAGACTTAAACTGGTATTGAATGTTTTTGGCTACAAACAAATGCAAAACAAAAATGCTATCGCAAAAATATTTTGAACTTGGCTGTTTCACACTCACAGAATAGCTTTATTTAAGTAGAGGATGAAGTTTGCAAATATGTTCTCTAATATGAGTGGAGTAGGTTGGCTTTTTACCGATATTCTAAATTGGGCTAGTCACACATGAAAAAAATAGTCAACTGGCTAACATTTTGATTAATTTTGTCATATTTAAATCCTTATAGATTAATAAAAAGGATTGGATGTCCTTTAATAAAGTTATCTAATATTATCTATTCAAAAGAAAAGTCATTCTAAAAAGGGAGAGCTAGTGTTTTTTTATTAATAATAAAATCTATGTTGTTCAGGAATTTTCCAATATGCTAGAGTTATTTCTTAAATGATGAATGAATATATTTTATTAGTTTCTTCTTCTTAAATAAGTTATTTAAAATTGAAGAATGCTCAGTCACCTTTTCTGTACCTAGAATTTTCTGTATGTCCAAATGGTACTTAGTAATTAGTACAATTTTTCCCTGAAGCAAACAAAGGAACTGGAATTAGTAAATCCTATTGCCGGTTTTGTAACTGAACTTTTCTGGAAATTAGCTTGCTCAAACAATAAGAAGAGATCGAAATACATTTAATAAGCTGAATCTTCACATTCAATTGGCAATGTTGAAAATAAACAATTTAGCTTACTTGTAAGGTTTTTTATTTTTTAATTTTTTATGAGGAAAGGGATTCTCTGGTAGAAACAAAACCCCAAACTGAAAACTAGAAGTGCAGCAAATATAACACCAGTCTTAGAATAAGGAAATATTGAGAAGGCTGAGGGGTACATTCGCTAACAAGAAACAAAACTTCATGTTTTAAATATTTATAACAAAAAAAATCTGTTGTCTACTGGAGAATATTATTAACTCCAATGTGAAGAGATGCATTTCCTGTGTACTTGGCCCTATGATTTCTTAAAGGGATCAGGAGCCCTGCTCTAAAGTTAGGCAGTCACTTCTGCACCCTCAACCACAACTCTATATTGGTTCCCTCATCTCAAAACCGAGGGCTATGAGAGCTTCTTCCTGGGATGCTGTGACAATTAAATGAGATGTTGCTCATGGAACAAATTTGGTCGTTGGCATGCTCTCAGCACCTGTTAACATCCTGTCCTCTCAAAAAGACAGCAGCAGAAAGCTGCACTTATTCCCAACTATGGGACTGAAGAAGCAGGAACAATGAGGATAATTTTGCACACTTTACTCTCATTAGAGGATGGCCCTATATCCCAAGACAGATGAAGTCAAAACCTGTAAAACAGTCACAAGTTTGAATTTTCTCCTCTATGACATGTTTTGTTTATAGGAGGGCAAAAGAGACTCCAGAGGAGGCAAAAGGAAACATCATGATGCCCATCCTTCAGCATGAGGTAGTTCCACTTCTTCTGAGACTCCTTCTTAGACTTCAACAGGATCACTCGCTTTCCTCCTTACTAGCAAATCCTCACCACAATCCTTCAAACTCTAAGGTGCTAAAACTCTCTTCCTTACAAGGGTATTAGAATTCTTGATTGTGGCTGTTCAAGCCAGTAAAAGTGAGTCTTTCACAATGAAAAGAGTTATTGTTATTCAGTCAATAAATGCTGAGTGCCTGCCAGGACCAGACACTCTGCTAGTCATCAGGAAACACAGAACATGTGATTAGTAAACATACAGGTGCAGGACATGAGCCTGTTATGCCCGGATGCCACTGAATGAGTGACAATTTGTACAATGTTTTATTAAGGGCCTATTATGAAGACAACCACAGCTGACAAAATATTAAAATAAGTCAAACGTAGAACGCAGGAATGGTTGCCAGCAGAGCATATGGAAACAAGGTGGAAGTCATGGGGAGAAGCTTGCTGGACAACCATAGTTGGCCATGTTCTCGGGCAGCTGGAACAATTCTCAAAAGTCCACTTTATAGTTGAATGGTTTTATGAGGTCTAAAAAATTCACTTCTAACGCCTAGACTTATGTTTTCATTACTATATGAAGAATGAGTCAAGCAAGTAGATGACAAAATATTGACTATAGACCCAAATATTTCAAGGCATGGAGAGGGCCCCAACTCCTTTTCAAGTGCAAAGAGAAACCGCTAGTAGAAGAAAGAAATAGATCAAGAAACTGGTTTTGAGCAAATATGAACAAATATGAACAAATCTCTTAACAGCATGGGTATCAACAAATGCTTCTGTTGTTGCAAAAACAGTCTCAAAAAGTACAACGAAGAAGGACTGACAAGCAGAAACGAGCTATTTTTTCATCTCCAAAATTGCACTTCCTGGTCCACGATTCTTAGCACTGCAGATGTTGCAGAACTGTGCAGCAGAGTTCTAAAAATAAAGTTAAAAAAAAAGATTTTAAAAAATGTTCTTCCTCTTCTATCTCATATTCAGAAATATTATGACAGCATTAGTTGGGGGTTGTAGAGGAAGTGATGAGACGCTACTCCTTCTTCTGGAGATGATTTCTTGTTCTCATAGGATTCAGTCTGGACCAGCTGTTATTCTGTGACTCAAAGAAGTCTAATGTGACCCAAGGGAACATGACTTGACACAAAAGGATAACAGCATCATGGTACACGTGAGGCTGAGAGAGGCACACAATATATACTATTGCTACTACCTGCCTCAAGAGTCATCAATATGACCTGAATAAATTTACTCAAATGGGTATACTTTTAGAATGTCTATGATAGCACACTAAACATTTTTATATTTGAAAAGTAGATAAATTAGTTTTTTGTGTGTGATATAAAACTACATTATTTTAAAATAAAGTACTTTGAAATGATTTTTAAAAAATAAAATAAGCTTAAAGGATGACTGGTCATAGTTTTGAGCATTCGTTCCTTTCTAGTTGATAGATGCCAAGCTGCCAACTCACCATGCTGGGCATGGGCAGGCACTCTTTGTGGAACATGTGCCGGCAATGGAAGACCACCACACTGAAGGGCTTAGCTGCATCTGGAAGAAGGGCAGAAGACAGGAGACGAACTCAATGAAACAAGCAGACTAGGATTTTTTAAAACCAATCGTGACAGAAAGTCCTGCTGTCGTTTAATTTTTCAACAACAGGATGCCTTTGGAGGATGATGTATCTACAAAAACATTCCTGAGGGGTGGTGTGATCAAATACAAAGTGGGTTTTTATTGTGTCACTATGTGATTCACAGGTTACTTGCTTGGTGTCAGTTACCCAGACAATAAATGGAGGACAACTGCAGCAACCTTTATTTTAAGAACTAGAATTACTCTTCGGTCTGTAATCCCAGCACTTTGGGATGCTGAGGCGAGTGGAATGCCTGAACATTCCACGGGTTTGAGACCAGCCTGGGCAACTTGGTCTCTACAATATATCAAAAATTAGCCAGGCGTAGTAGCACGTGCCTGTAGTTCTGACTACTTGGAAGGCTGAGGCGAAAGGATCACTGGAGCCCAGCAGGTTGACACTGGGGTGGCCGTGAGTGTGCCACTGCACTCCAGCCTGGGCGGTGGAGTGAAACTCCAACTCAAAAAATAAAATCTAAAAACTAGAATCAGTATGTGTATGTGCCTGTGTATTCCTCCTTCCCCGATAATCATTACACACCACATATTGTAGTTATTTGTGGCTTATGAAAATGCTTTCCCAGTTCACCTGTCACCTTTGCCCAGGCTACTTACTGACTTTAGAGGCACAGCTGGGTTAAAATCCCAGGCTGTGACCTTGCCTTTTACTACATTTCTACTTGGTCTTGTCCCCTCATCTGCTCTTGCTCTGTGTGGCCAGCTTACTTCTAGTAAAATCTGGTGTCCTTAGCAGATTAAATTGGGAATTTAATCTAACTGTACAGTGGAAGTGCACGTGGTCTCTTTTCTGTTGAAACTCTGCCTAAAACACAATGCAAGCTCATTTCTTTTCCTGAGCCCACTGCTGTTTTGAACATAAGAATTTAAAACTCCAAACATATCTCCTCTAAAAAATAAACTAAGTGGAATGACTTCTCATGCTTCTGCTCTATTAAATAATCCCTTAATGCTAAGCAAATGTGAGGTCAACTAGGTCTTGTAGGACCCCTCTATACTGACACTTATGCTTTGTTAATTTCTACTTTCAAATTATGAAAATTTCCTCTTCTCATGTCACAATGAGCCTTAAGTAAAGTGCTTTTCATTACAGATGAAGATAAATATATATACCCCAAACTAGAAATAAACAAATGCTAATAGCTTTTAAAGAGCCACAGTTCCCATTGGATGCTGGGTATCATGTTACCACTGAAATGTGAGATGACTTGGGCATCTAGAGCCATACAGCAGAGAAAAAAATTAAAGAAAATAAAACACAACCTAAATTTTTTTTCTCCAGACAGACACACAGTTCTTCTATCTTGGGATTTAAATATGCTGATGGTTAGTTTTTGCTTTGTTTCACCTAGAACACTGATTCTCAAAGAATGGTCCCTGAACCAGCAGCATCAACATAACCTGGCAACTTGTTAGAAATGCACATTCCCAGGCCCTGCCCTGGAACTTTGGGGCCAGAGACTCTGGGAGCTGGCCCGGCAATCTGGGCTCTAACTAGCCTGCCAGGTGACGATGACTTACCCTACAGCTTGGAACCTCACCGCTGAAGAATGGCAGCACCAGCATCCAGCTGAAAGGGATGTGGACCAAAAATCTTCACTAAACCGAATTATTCTGAAAGTTATATTATTTTATCAACAGCAGTTAGTTAACCTCAAAATTTTGATTTCACCCATCATCAAAATATTTGAGAAATTTTCTGTCCCTCCCAACCATCTTACCTGATGGAAGAATAGGGGAAAGGCATGATTCACAGATATTCTCCTCTGTAAGAAAACACACACACTTCCGATTATGCCCTGTTTCTATCTGCCCTGCCATTTCTAAAAGCAGGGCATGGGTTCCATGTGATTACTTCAATCTTACTCACCATCGACTAGAACACCTTTCATTTGAGTTCGGTGCATTTTCTTCAGTAAGGACAAAGAGTCAGCTACGAGAATCTTCTTGCAGCCTTCACGAAGCAGAATCTAATGCACACATTTGGAAAGAAAAGCCATCTTAAACACACTCAAATGTAGGGGTTGAGGGGTTGAGGGAGAAAACTAGTGTGTTTGAAATACTCCACAAGGTGCTTACTGCTTCTCCTGCGTTCAGTAACCTCTTCCCTTCAAACCATTGCCCGACTGACCTTTCTAGCCAGGATTCAGCCATTACTCTCTTTACTCTGCATTATTTTTTTTTTTACAGTCAGACAGTGGCTCCTGTAGCATTTATAAAACCGAACATAAATTCCAAAGTCTGGCAAAGAAGGTCCTATATTAACTAACCCTACTGCTACCTTAGAGGGCTTCCTCATACAGTTTCTCTCTGGCAGTGTTTGGCCCCTCCATGACCTGCTCATTCCAACCTTCAGATCTTTGTCCAGAATGAAAAAACTTTGTCCAGAATGAAAAAGTGGATGATTCCAAAATCATCCACTTAATAAATCCATCTGTTACTGCACAAATACGTACTGGGTCCCTCATCATGTACAAGGCATTGGGTATAGATGATAAACCAAATGCGCTCCAGGTTGCAACCTGTCTTCTTTTCCTCCCAAATCCAATTCAAACCATTCAGCATAGTGCTATAAATGTGTGTGTGTGTGAAGTATTGACTGCATGAACCCTCAAATTTGGTGACTCCTAGGAGGCTGACAAGTGAAAAATGACCATAGGTATTCATCTGTCACAAGATTCATTTTCTTATTCTTCAATCCAGGATTGTACATTTTGTTTCTTTATGCATTTTTCTTGCTCTTCTGAAGGATTTTTATTATTTTTCCCCCTTCATGTCTGGAGAATGACAAGAGAGAACACAACACTTTTGCAGCCTCAGAAGTTAGGAGCCCACAGTGAAGGACAATGACTGTTTCTGGCTGGTACCAACATCATGTTTCAGAACTGGGGCATGATGGGGTTCAAGATCCCCACCTGCTTTTAGGTGAGATTGAAACTGGATAAATCGCGTGAACTGAGTGCAAGCCAGATGTCATTTTTGTCTAGAACTTGTTGCTGTTTTTCAAAGAGGAAGAAAATCGAGGCCTGAAGGACTGAGATTTTTGGGGGCCTGTGGCCTGCCTCTTCAGGCCTTTTGCCAAAGTCTTATCATATGTAGTTTTGTGAAACTATACATTACTGACATAGAAATTCACATAACAGATATCGCTGTCTCACAACAGTCTAGCTCTGTGGTAAAAAGCGTATGTCTTTTAAAGAATATATATTATTATTTTAAAAATTTAACTTATATTTATAATTTCTTTTTTTTAAAGAGACAAGGTCTTGCTATGTTGCCCAAGCTGGTCTCGAACTCCTGGGCTCAAGCAATCCTCCTGCCTCAGATTCTCAAAATGCTGGATTAAAGGTGTGAGTCACCCGCCCCCAGCCGAGAAGTATGTGTCTTTCAGTGGTAAGTGCTACCATTGAGGTGAACACTGGTTTCTTCACACTGATGTCACTCTCAACTCCAAACCCCTGATGGGCATTTTGCTTTCACAGGTTTTAAATTCATGCTGCCAGGGAAGGGAAGTAAGGGAGCAGTCAACCATGGTTCTTAATCCCCAGTGGTCTATGTGTTCTTCTACAAATCCCAAAGAGTACTTGGCTTTGGATGAATCCAGCTACAGGGCTTTTCCCCCTAATTATATGAAGGCAAACATTCAATAAAACCAAACCAAAGTTCTACACCTGCCATTTCTAGTATTGATGAACAATAAACAGTATGATTTTAGTATTCCTACATTAATTGAGAAGCTGCCTATAAAGTTTTATTCTTTACAATTCAACTAGAAATAAATGCTTCATTTTATTTTAAAGGACATTTAAATTTTAATAGACACAAATCATATAGAAGATAAAAACAAATACAGTAAGAAAGATATCTGAGAAATGCTGATGCCAGTAATCTTTGAGAAAATTTATAAGCAAGCATATAAAATAGCTGTTCAGCTTCTATTGCCAAAATAAAAAAGTTAAGAAAAATAGTGTCAATCACAACATCTCTGGTAAAATGTTTCAAAAAGAAATAGCTCTGACCCTCAGTGGGTGCTCAAGGCCCACTGCATGAATAATACAGGAGGAAGGGCAGAGCCGGCCGTCTAGACAGAAGCACTGGGTCTGAAAACTAAAAATGAAAATACCAAGAAATGCTAACTAAGAAGGAACCATCTCCTCAGCAGGATTACATTTTTCTAAATAGGTACAATCTGTCTGCCCGCAGAAGTATTTTCTAGGAAAAATTCAGTATTCATAGGCAAACAGCCAGGAGAGGGAAAGTAAATAAATACCATATATTATGTTACTTCCCACTTCATTTGGTTAAAATCCAAGGCTCCAAATTAGAAACAGGAAAACATTTAAGTTTCATTTCCATGATTCCAGGCAGGTATATCAAAAAATGAGTCTATCATCTCTCGAAAATAATAGTTTATTCTGTCACATCTATAATAATTTGAAAGCAATCAAAGGTGATGACTGAAAGAAGACTGTACAAGATTATAATTTAGTATTACAGTATATAGGTATTGTTTTCAATATTGGAAATCAGGCAAGGCATTACATTGACTATGAATAAATTCCTCGCAGCAACTACAATAGTGACTCATGAAAAATGTGCTATTGTTGATGGATTTCCCATGACTGCTTTTATTATAAAGACAATGATGGTCAAGAGTCAGATGTCGCAGTGCTGGCGTAAGGAGGTCATCTTCACCTCTTTCTGATTTTCACACTCATGATTTCTGACTATTTCCATTTTCAAGGTCATCTTACCCATCCTATTTTCCTAGCTGTGGACTCCCACCTTCCTCCTGTCTGCTTCCTAACTTGTACATGTGATGTTCTTGACAAACTTAGGGCACTTGTCTTCTGTTATCAGGTTTTCAATGACCAGAGTCTCTCTCTCACTCTGAGTACTATAATTCATTACTTTGTGCTATTTTTCTTTTTAAAATATAAAATATGTGAAAAGAACAAAAGAAAAATATAAATATCCAACTTCCCACTGCCTAGATTGAATAAATCGTATTTTGTCATGTGTTTCAGATCTGCTTATTACAGAAAATGAAGTCTTACAAACAGCTGACACTTTCTTGCACTTCACTGTTCCTTCTTCATCCTTTCACACACAACTAAAACTTTGTTTAGTGTGTCCAACTAAAATACATTGCTGGCTGGGGATCATGAAACACAGATCTGCTCAATGAGACGAACATCAAGTCTGGGAAGGCATCCCTTCCAAATAAAAAAGCAAAGCCTTATTAGGAAAAAGTCCTCTGCCTCCTACATCTTCCTGCCTGGAATGTGGACTAGCAATACAGCATCCAACTCGTGACCAAGAGACAATCCTGATGTATATTCTCCTGTTGACAGACATTGAGGCTCTTTCCAGTTTCGAGGTACTAAGGCTATAGTTGTAAAGAACATTCTTGTGCACACCTTTTTGTGGACCTGCTTTCTCATCTCTTGAGTAAACAACTAAGAGTGAAATTGCTGGGGCATAAAATAGGTATATGTTTTAACTTTTGAAGTAACTGTAAAACAGTTTTCCAAAGTTGTACCACTTGTTACTCCCACATATTAAGTCTTGATATCTGATAATTCTATCCCCCTAAGTCTTCTTGGAAAATTGGTGATCTTAGTGTTTTACTTCTTAAAAAATTTTAGGACCTGCTTATCAATTTCGAAAAAAAAAATCTTTGGATATTTTGATTACAGTGTATTCAACACATAAAGGACTACTTTAGAGATAACTGAGAACATTTATGATGTGGATGTACTTTTAAAAATTAAATAAATGGTCAAATTCAATTTGCTAATGATTTGTGTATTTTTTTGAATTTGTGTTAAAAAAGACAGGGCTATAATTTTTTTTATATTACTCTCATGTAGTACTAGCATTAAGGTTATATTATTTGTATCCTATGAGGAACTGAGGAACTTTTCTATGCTATTATGTGAAGAAATTCATGTAAAATAGGGGTTGTCTTTTTTTTTTTTTAATTAAAAGTTTGACAAGATTTCTCTTTAAAATTGCCTATGGAATAATTTTTATGTGTTCTAACTATCAATTAATTTCTTTAGTAACTATAAGTCTATTCTATTTACTCTTGAATAAATATGGATAATTTATATCTTCCTAGAAAACTGTCATTTCTTCCGAGTTGTCAAAGGTATTGATATAAGTTTGTGTATTTTACTAACTTTAGGTGCTGAAAACTTAAAATTAGTCTGCAAGGACTTTCTTTCTCTCAGACTCTGTGGAATTTGCAAATACATTTTGTGATGTTTCCTGAATGTTTAGACTACAGAAGATTACAAGCACGCTGTTTTAAAAATTATGTCCTCCTCCCCACCAAAAGTAGTTCTTATTTTTCAAAGTATGCCTGCTGACCTTTCAAAGATTATTTTTTACCTACGAAAATCTTTCTTGCCTGCTTCCTCCTGTTTCCGCCTGGTTTCTCATTCTCTGTGTTAGATAGTCTCTGATATCACTTTCAGAAATTAAAACCAGTTTGAAACATCTTGTTATCTGTGAAATCTCTGCTTGGTAAATAAGAGCTCATTATTAGTCTTTGCTTTGTAATCTGTTGCTGTCTTTTCTTTCCTCAACTTCATAACAGCACTAGTTTTCATCCAAAAAGATATTTGCAGGAACTGTTTAAAAATATTATTTTTCAGAGATGAATTTTCCTAATGGGATTTTCCTCATTTTTCCAAGATTATTCAAATCTGTGGGCTACTTCTATCTTTCTCAATTACTCTTGTTTTCTTAATATTACTTCTCTCCACAGTTCTTGGTTTTCCTAAGTTTTGTATTTTATTAACCTGGCCTGTACTCTTTCTTTCCTCTTTAGCATTTTCAAGACAACCAGTTGCTACTTCTATAATTCTATAATTAATTTGTTACATATTATATTTTGTGCTATGGCAAATTTAAATAAAAAGAAATTTACAAGATAGCTGTTGAAAACCAAATGAGACCTTAG